GGGCGAGGGGGGGGGGGGGAAATTTGTAATCCCAACTCCCATTCCTCCGCTGGATACGTTCATTCCACGCGCAAAAGCCGACGGGCGAGCATCGAAAGCTGGAGTTCGGGTTAGTTTTACCCAGTGTGTATTTTACGTCACAAAATTGTGCGAAGTAAAAATTTCAAATATTTTATAAAATTGCTTTAAACTGTTTCTTCGTTTACATATAGCGTCCTAAAAGTATATTATTCTCCTATCCATCAAAAATATCGATTTATAAAAATAAATAAAAATTCATGTTTTTTTATAGATAACATTTACATTTATCATGTTTTCATTATTTTATTTTCAATAGGTTATAAATTAACAAAATGTATAAAAATAGCCTATAAAAAATATTTGTTTTTGTGCGAAATTGATAATTCTTAAATTTTACCTCATTTTTGCTCATAAAAAAACTGCCATTTTCAACTTGCAAAAAAAATATGGTTCTTGGATTAAACAAAAAATTTACTTGAAAACATTTTAAAGTTCAACTTTTTTGCTTTTCAACAATTCCTCATGGAACCCTAAACATGTATTTTTCATAAAATTATGACCATTTAAAAAAAAAACAATTTATAAGAAAAAATATTAAAGTTTTCTTTTACTTATTTATAAATATCTTTGAGCGTGTTAACTATATCGTCATGAAACTTCTTTTATATTGCTTCTAAGATAATTTTCTATCGATTAAAAAAAAAGCATTAAATTTGAACAATTAGAACTCGAGTTATAGGTTTTCAAAGTTGTCCGGATTACGCTAACCCAGTGTGTACTTCCCGTAACTTTTTTATAATGTGTATCATGAGGATTGATACTACAAATTTTATTCTTAAATATATACGGTGGAAGGAAGAGGTATAATAATAATAAAATGTAGATAATCAGGTATACACATTTTGTATACTATAAACAAAGTTTATTCATTAAAAGTGCTTATACATATTCCCGTCTGTTCTTTTACACATACGTTATGATAGCTTAACACTCGTTAGTGTACTTTTCACATACGAAAAAATGCATATTCTTAACTGCTAGATAATTTTTGCTTTATAGAAGTAATAATATTCTAAAGTATATTAACGTACACGTATGTTAAGATCTATCAGATAAGGCAAAACAGTGAAATCAAAATACGATACATTTTGCGAAATAACCAATAATAATTAAGCGGTTTGTTAATTAAAATAAAATAAATTACAATAATAAAATAAGGACATAAAGAGCCAAAGTTGCCGATGTTAAAAGCTACATACAAAAATTTATTTTAATTCGTGAAATACGATTCGACCATTTGATGTGGTCTTCTTCAGTTTAAGTCGGTCAATAAAATATCACATTATAAATCCCTTGATGGTGGTGTCATACTTTCAAAACTGTCACAGACTGTTCCACCCTGGTAGTCAGTGTTCGTAAGCACATGAAATAAGGAAATCTCCTGCACTCCAACAGTCAATAAATTCAGTTCCAAACCAACTTTACTTGACGGACATGAAGTCACACTCGTGTAACAGGCCAACCAGAAATTTAACGGAATAATGTAGCGGCGGGTCCATCTAAGTGAACCATATTAAAGATTTAAAATTCAGCACAAACATGACTAACAGAAACAATAACATTCTGAGCAGATAAGCGACATTTACTATTGATAAAGTCGTTGCAGAGTACGCACGTAATAACATCGATCAGAGAATGAACGTACGGATTATATAATAGAGAGAGAAAGAGAGAGAATGTAGATATTAAACATTTTCATATACAAAATACATACGTTACTAATACAACATAACGTAGGTAATTTAATTTATTAAAAAAATAGTTAACAATAAATAAAGTTTTAAACACAATTTACATCACGTTATATTACGTTAAACTTAAATATTCAATGTAAATAGGCGTATACAATTTAGTATAATACGACACATGTCGTAATACGATATAGGACACATCACTTGTTGAATAATAATCAGTAAAACTATTATGCGGTTATATAATCTAGCTCTCTGAGGTGAGATGATGCATGTCAACAGTCTTCTATCAATGTCAATATTATTAAGAGTTATTAATAGAAAACGTTTTCTTTTATAGAAAGTAATAAGTTAATTTATTAAATATAATAAATAATAAATTAATTTTTAAAAATACTACATTAGTTTATTCGGATAACGAGAACTCCGAATTTAGCATTTAACATTAACTAGATTTCTAAATAAAATAAAAATTGTATCATAATAACTAAAAAAATTCTCATAGCAATATCATTTGTGATGTCATCTTTCATTTGGCAGGCTGTTTTCTGCTAATCAACTAACACTATTATATTTACATATTGCAGCTATTTGTGAAAGATAGAATTATCACAGTTGAAACAGTCGCTCGACGCCGGACCATTCAGTGGCAAGTGTTTATTACAAGAGGAAAGAAATGGCTATCGCGCTCGTATCTTTAATTCTCGGAGCAATAATAATTCTTTATCTCTACCTAACAAAAAACTTAAAATACTGGCAAAAACGAGGAGTTCCTTGCCTGAATGGCGCTCTACCGGGAATTGGCAATATGTGGAATTTTATCTCTATGAGGGAAACCTTCTCCGAATGGTGTCGCATAACTTACAATAATAATAAGGATTACAGCATGGTCGGTTTCTACAATTTGATGAAGCCCACATTGCTGATCTGCGAGCCGGAGCTGGTAAAAACAATACTGCAAACAAACTTTACAAATTTCCACATTAATGGACTCACAGTCCACCCTGAGTTGGACCCCCTTCTGTCGAACAATCCCTTTTTTACATACGGAGATAAGTGGATGCTTGGACGAAAGCGGCTGACCTACGCATTCTCCGGCATGAGATTAAAGATTATATTCAAAAGCGTTAAGCAAGTATGTGAAGAATTAGACAATTACTTAGATAAAAAGCTAAGTAAAGTTGAAAAGGTGGAAATAGAACTGAAGGACTTGTTCGCCAAGTACACCGCGCAGGTTGTAGCAAACGCTGGTTTTGGTGTAAATGGATTATGTTTCGACGATAAGAAACAGAAGGACTCCTTCGACGCAATAGGCAAATCTTTCTTCGAGCCGTCTCTTATGAACAATATCATCAGTAACATTGTGTTTCTAATACCTTGGTTGGGCAAAGTTCTCAGGCTAAGATTCTTGCCAAAAAAAGTCGACCATTTTTTCAGAACGATGATCAAGGATATTATGGAGCAAAGAAGAACAAGTGAAACGCGGAGAAACGACTTTCTTCAATTAATGGTCGAATTGGAGCATATGGAAAATGATAAGTTTGACATAGAAGTCCTGGCGTCTCACGCGGTGTCATTCTTCTTCGACGGTTACGAGACTTCCAGCCTAACTTTAAGCTTTATTGGATTTCACTTAGCTGCTTACCCAGAAGTGCAAAAGAAATTACGCGAAGAGATAATAACCGTACTGTCCAAGCATAATGGTACTCTTACATATGAAGCCTTGAAGGAAATGATCTATATGGATCAAGTAATAAATGAGTCACAGAGAGTCTTACCTGCGTTAGCATATCTTACTAAAATCTGCACAAACGCGATTGATTTGAAGGGATCTGACGGTGTGGTTTGTTCTGTGGAGCCTGGAACAAACATTGTAATATCCGTTCATGGTTTACAGAGTGATTCTAGATATTGGGAGAATCCGGACGTATTTGATCCTGAGAGATTTAGTCCGGAAAAGAAACACGCCATCGAAAAATTTGCCTTTCTTCCCTTCGGCGAAGGCCCGCGAATGTGTGTGGGAATGAGGATGGCTATACTGCAAATAAAAGCATGTCTCGCTATATTCTTGAGAAAGTATAGCTTGGAACTTTCTCCGAAGATGCAGTTGCCCTTGAAGTTGGGGGCAGCAAGTTTCATGAACACGATAGAAGGGGGTGTTTGGGCCTTTATCCGACCAATTTAATTGTATGTATCTTTAACCTCCTGTAGTTTGTTATAGTGACTTTATTTGTTATCAGTGAAAATATTTCTTGCCTACACTGAAATCTTTCGATATTTTTTACTGTTATTTATTGCGACAACTATATGCATATTTTTTATAATATCATTTACTTCTTTTGTCTTTGTGATGATCCCTTTAATGTTACGATATTCTGTTGTTCGCTGAAATACTTGTATTCCTTTTATATTACAGGTTTATTTAATGTTTTTTCGGATAATTATTGTCTCATATATAAATATTTTCGAAAAAATATGAAGATTATAAATCTTTCTTTTAATTGCACAATATTCTATTTACGCGTTAAAACATATCTTTCATTTTTTATCCGCATTTCTTATCATTTGACCAGGTCAAATGTGTGCGCAATAAAAAGTTGCATCATTAATACGCTACTAAAATAGTATCGTTGCATTTAATTCAACAAGATATCATGTTACTACTAAGAAAATATATATTTCACATTAAATTGCGTGGTGTAAGTTATGCAATGCATTTAATAACATCACAATATCATAATATCATTAAATCGCTATATATAAATGAAAATATACATTTTTTATTTTCAAACATATATTAATAAATAGGTTTCATCTTTGTAATAACTACTAATAATAATCTAAAACTTTTCGTTATCAAACTCATAAATATGATTGGAATGATATATATGTAATATTGCTTAAACATTTACAAAAATATATATAATTGTGCAGCGGAAGAATTGTAACTTTTTCTTAAATAATTAAATCAAACACTTTGATCTACAATTAATTGTAAACTGTTATAGCATAAGCCATATGATAATTAATATTAAAAATTTTATTTTCAAATATATACGGTGGAAGGAAGAGGTATAATAATAATAAAACGTAGATAATCATGTATACACATATTGTGTACTATAAACAAAATTTATTCATTAAAAGTGTTTATATATATTTGTGTCTGTTCTTTTACACATACGTTAAGATATCACGACATGTTAATACTTTTCGTACATAAAAGAATATATATTCTTAACTGTTAGATTATTTTGAACACATTACTTTATGGCAATAGTAATAATATCCTAAAGTGTATTAACGTGCATGTACATTAAAATTTATTAGATAAAGCCCCATTATTATATTAGATTAAATTTATTAGATAAAGGGCGACATCAAAATGCGATAAATTTTGCAAATTAACCAATAATAATTAAGTGGTTCATTAATTAAATTGAAATAATTAATCTGTATGAAATAATCTGCCAAAATAAAAACAAGATTCAACAAATACATTATATATTTGTCTAGCGTAAATCATGTTGTCATGTTGTCATGTAAAGTCTTTACCGTTCTCAACAGACTATCGATCAATTTATATTTCGTCAGTCAAAATTCTCAACTCGTTAATAAAAGGCGAATATATATACCTGTTTTTGATACCAATTAAATAATAACAAAAAACAGTTTTGATATAGTTTCTTGAAGAACCAAAAACACGGGCATTAGTAACAAGTAACTTTTCTATACGGACTTTCTGGATGTTTGACATCACGTAACAGATTCTAAAACAAACAAGTGCTAAAGAAAACTAAATATAACAATCACCTTTACGTAATGTTCTATAGCGTAACAGCAACAGAAATCCAGATTGGTAACAGGCCAAACGGAAATTTAACAGAATAACGGAATAATGTAGCGACAGGTCCATCCAAGTGAACCATCGAATTTTAAGTCAAAGGCTTAAAATTAGGCACAAACATGACTAATAGAAACAGTAACATTTAGAGCAGATAAACGACATTTACTGTCGATAAGGTCGCTGCAGAGTACGCACGTAATAATATCGATCAGAGAATGAACGTATTGACTATATAATAAAAAGAGAGAGAATGTAGATATTAAACATTTTCATATACAAAATTAATATAATTAATTAAATATTTTCATAAACATACCTTATTGATTCAACATAACGTAATATAATTTATTAAAAAAATAGTTAACAATAAATAAATAAAGTTTTAAATCACAATTTACATCATGTTATATAAACTTAAATATTCAATAAGCAGGCGTATACAATTTAGTATAATACGATACATATCGTAATATGATATAGGACACATGTCTCGTTGAATAATAATTAGTTACACTATTATGCGATTACATAATCTGGCTCTATATGGTGAGATGACGCATATCAGCAGACTCCTGTCAATGTCAATACTATTACCAAATTTGCCAATAAGAAAAACGTTATAAAAAAATACCAAACTAATTTATTAAAAATGATACATAATAAATTAATTTCTTTAAAACATAGATTGGTTTATTCAAATAATAACGAATACTCCAAATTTATACCGAATTTACTCCAATGTACTCTCAATAAAATTTAGCATTTAACATTTAATTTTTAGATTTCTAATTAAAATAAAAATTGTATTATTTAACTAAAAAAAATTTAACTAAAAATTCTCATAACAACATCATTTGTGACGTCATCTTCGGGCAGGCTATTTTGTGGCAATCATTTAACACTACTATAAGGTAAACTCGTATTAGATGGCCATACTTTTTTAGAATACGGAAATATGCATTTTTATTGTTATTTTTTAATAGCTTTTGGCACATTACTTCACTGAAGCCTACAGTACATAATACTATCAGAGTTAAAGGGAAAATACTTAATCGAAATTATTTATTACAAAAATATCAAAACATAAGCATTGGCCATCTTACCTGAATTTTTCAAATAAAATAGCCCTAACATTAAGGAATAGATGGCCCATACATATTTTATATTCAAGATGTACCTATTATTTTATAAAATAATTGAAAAAAACATAATTTGACATATTTATCTTAGTATAAGATATTTAATACATATTATTTGTGAAAAATATAATACACACATAAAGTAGAAACTTCTATTACAAAACTTAAATTCTAAATTTTTGCTTTTCAGCAAGGTGGAAAAGATGGAAATAGAACTGAAAGTTCTGTTCGCCAAGTACACGGTACAGATGGTAGCGAACGCTGGTTTTGATGTGAACGGATTGTGTTTCGACGATGAGGAACACGAGGAATCCTTCGACGCAATAAGCAAATCTTTCCTCGACTCGTCTCTTCTAAACAACGTTATCTTCAACCTTGTGTTTCTAATATCTTGCCTGGGCAAAGTTCTCAGGATAAGAACCTTGCCAAAAAGTAAAGCTCGTGCAATCTTTTGATCAAAATATATTGCACATAAGATTTAATTAATATTGAAAGTAATTTTTTAAACATAACGACTTTCGTTTTATAAGTGTTCATAGAATGATAGTAGGCCATCTTACTCAAAATATTGAATGAGAGACGACTATAATATTTATAAACAAGTAGTGAAAATGAAAATAAAAAATACATATTACAATTTACATAACTTCTTTATATATCTAACGTATATTTGATTGCGATAGTTTATCTGCAATTTATTCAACGTTACAGCAAGTTTTAGTGGATACATGAAAAATTTGACAGGTAGTCGAAAATAAACATATAATATAACATATAACATATAATATAATATAATATTCATAATCTTGCTATTTCAAAAAATGTACGCACATATATTACGATAAGTATCGATTAATTTTGTAACCGGTTACGCAAACGCAATATCATGCAATTATTAGAAAATTACAGCCTACGGCCATCTTTCCGGTATGGACATAATACCCGAGTTTACCGTAATTGCATATTACCGCTATTCGTGAAAGATAGATCACAGATGAAACAGCCGCTCGACGCTGGATCATTCAGTTTCAAGTGTCTATTGAAAGAGGAAAGAGATGGCTACCGCGCTCATATCTTTAATTCTTGGAGCAATAATAGTTCTCTATCTCTACCTAACAAAAAACTTAAAATACTGGCAAAAACGAGGAGTTCCTTGCCTGAATGGTGCTCTACCGGGAATTGGCAATATGTGGGATTTTCTCTCTATGAAGGAAACCTACCCCGAATGGTGTCGCAAAATTTACTGTGATAACAAAAGTCATAGTATGGTCGGTTTCTACAAGCTTACGAAGCCCACATTGATGATCCGCGAGGCGGAGCTGGTAAAAACAATACTACAAACAAACTTCACAAATTTCCACATCAATGGACTCACGGTCTACCCTGAGTTGGACCCCCTTCTGTCGAACAATCCTTTTTTTTCATACGGAGATAAGTGGATGACTACACGAAAGCGGCTGACCTACGCATTCTCCGGCATGCGATTGAAGATTATACTCGAAAGTGTTAAGCAAGTATGTGAAGAATTCGAGAATTACTTAGATAAAAAACTGAACAAGGTGGAAAAGATGGAAATAGAATTGAAGGATCTGTTCGCCAAATACACCGCGCAGGTGGTAGCGAACGCTGGCTTTGGTGTGAACGGATTGTGTTTCGAAGATGAGGAACACGAGGAGTCCTTCGACGCAATAGGCAAATCTTTCCTCGACCCGTCTCTTTTAAACAACGTTATCTTTAACCTTGTGTTTCTAATACCTTGGTTAGGCAAAGTTCTCAGGATGAGAACCTTGCCAAAAAAAGTGGACCGTTTCTTCAGAACGTTGATCAAGGATATCATGGAGCAAAGAAGAACGAGCGAAACGCGGAGAAATGACTTCCTCCAATTAATGGTCGAATTGGAGCATATGGAAAATGATAAGGTCGACGAGAAGAAATTAGAAATCCTGGCGTCCCACGCGGTGTCATTCTTCGTCGACGGTTACGAGACTTCCAGCACGAATTTAAGCTTTATTGGATTTCACTTAGCTGCTTACCCAGAAGTGCAGAAAAAATTACGCGAGGAGATAAGAACTGTGCTGTCCAAGCACAAAGGCATCCTCACATTTGAAGCCTTGAAAGAAATGACCTACATGGATCAAGTAATAAGCGAGTCACAGAGAGTCGTACCTACGTTAACATATTTTACCAGAATCTGTACGAACGCGATTGATTTGAAAGGATCTGACGGTGTGGTTTGTTCTGTGGAGCCTGGGACAGACATTGTGATATCCGTTCATGGTTTGCAAAATGATTCTAGATATTGGGAAAACCCGGATGTGTTTGATCCTGAAAGATTCAGTCCGGACAAAAAACACAATATCGAAAAATTCGCCTTTCTTCCCTTCGGCGAGGGACCACGAATGTGCGTGGGAATGAGGATGGCTCTGCTGCAAATGAAGGCATGTCTCGCTGTAATCTTGAGAAAATACAGCTTGGAACTTTCTCCGAAGATGCAGTTGCCCTTGAAGTTGAGGGCAGCAAGTTTCCTGAACGCGGCAGAAGGTGGTGTTTGGGCCTTTATCCAACCGATTTAATTGCATGTGTTTTTAATCTCCTGTAATTTGTTGTAGCGACTTTATTTGTTATCAGCGAAAATATTTCTTACCTATAATGAGATCTTTTAATATATCTTGCATATTATTTATATTGTATCAAATATCTTTTTATAATATCATTTACTTCTTTTATCTTTGGTTATAATCCCTTTAAGATGTTATGATAATTTGTTGTGTTCGCTGAGTTACTTTTATTCCTTTTTATACTTTTATCGTTTTATATTATCGATTTAATATTTTTCGGATAATTATTCCGCTTGTATATAAATATATTCGAAAAAATGTGAAAATTATAATCCCTTCTTTTAATTGCACAATGTTCTGTTTTGTATAGTTACAAAGAATATTTTTCATTTTTTATCTGTATTTCTTATTATTTGATCAGGTCAAATATGTAGGATATCCGGTAACTTACAAAGGATTAGAGATATACAAGATTAGGTCAAAACATAACATTGCTCTGAACAAAATATTCCTCTACCATTTAGCGTACAATTACATAAAATTTTGATTAATTAATTTTAAAATTTTTCCAAGAATTTTAAAATTAATCCCAGAAGATTCGTGAATTATCACGCGCCATACGGTAAATGAGTTGTGATGGCGATGTTTACCGCCGTATTCTTGTATGTTAGGTCAAACTGAACAAAAAAATTCTCTACCATTTTCCAAATGACCACATAGATGTTTAGTTATTAATTCTTGAATTAATAAGTTTTTTACGTGGTTGTTCGCAAAATAGAGGAATTTTTTATTTAGTTTGACTTAACTTATCTACCTGTATAACGCAGCTCCTCTGTAAATTACCAGACAGCCTGTATACGCAACAAAAAGACGTATCACATTAAAATAGCGTCATTGTTTTAAAGTAATGACATCTCATGTCATTTACGAAGACAATATATGTCTCATATTCAATCGCGTGATGTAAGTTATACTTTACGTGATGCTTTTAATAGTATCGTAATAACAATTTCATTAAACGATGTCATACATAAATAAAAATACATATTTTTTATTTTCAAACAAGTAGGTTTCATCTTTGTAAAAACTACTAATAATAATCTGAGACTTTTCGTGATCAAACTCAGATATGATTAAAATGATATATACATATATCATGATATATATATATATATAATACATACATTATGATATGATATATATGTATATCACTTAGTCATATACAAAAATATATATAATTATAGAGCGGAAAAATTATAACTTTTCCCTATACGATTAAATCAAACGATTTGATTTACAATTAATTCTAAACTTACAGCATAAGTCATATGATAATTAATACTATAAGTTTTATTTACAAATATATACGGTAGAAGGAAGAGGTATGTATAATATATGTAGACAATCACGTATACATATATTATAAAAAGAGTTTATTCATTAAAAATGCTTCTATATATTTCCGTGTGTTCTTTTACACATTTTTATGATAGCATAACACACTCGTTAGTGTACTTTCCACATACAAAAAAATACATATTTTTAACTGCTAAATTATTCTTAACATATTCCTTTATAGCAGTAACAATAATATTCAAAAGTATAATAACGTACACGTATGTTAAATTCTATCAGATATCACAATGCGGTAAAATAAAAATGCGATACATTTTGCGAATTAACTAATAATATTTAAGCGGTTTGTTAATTAAAATGAAATAATTAAACTATTAAAATAATCTGCCGAAATAAAAATAAAGTTTAATAAATGCATTATATATTTGTCTAGCGTAAATCATGTTAGGTCTTTACCGTTTTCAACAGACTATCCATCGATTTGTATTTCGTCAGTCAAAATCTATAACTCTGTGATAAAGTGCGAATGTATATGCTTGCTTTTGGTATCAATTAAATAATAACAAAAAACAGTTTCAACAAAGTTTCTTGAAAAACTAAAAACACGAACATTAGTAACAGGCAACTTTTCCATACGGACTTTCTGGATGTTTGACATTACGTAACAGATTCAAACAGGTGCTAAAGAAAACGAAATGTAACAATCACCTCTACGGAACGTTTTATAGCGTAACAGAAATCTAAATCAGTAATAAGCCAAACAGAAATTTAACGGAATAACTGAATAATGTAACGACGTATACATCCAAGTAAATCATTAGAGGCTTAAAATTCGGCACAAATATGAATAAGAGAAACGAAAACATTTCGAGCAGATAAGCAACATTTACTATTGATAGTCGCATTTACTATTGATAGAGTACACGCATAGTAACATCGAGCAGGAAATAAACGCACGATTTATGTGATAGAGAGAAAGAATGAATAGATATTAATCATTTTTATGTACGAGTACCAAATACATACATTACTCATACAACATAACGTTGGTAATTTAATTTATTAAAAAGAAGTTGACAATAAATAAAATTGTAAAACACAATTTACATCACCTTATGTAAATTTGAATATTCAATATAATTACGATGTAGGACACATTGTTGAAAAATAATCAGTGGAACTATTATGCGATTACATAATCTGACTTTACGTAGTGAAATGACGCATATCAGTAGTCTCCTGTCAATGTCAATATCACTAAGAGTTGTTAATAGAACAAATGTCATAAAAAATATCAAATTAATTTATTAAAAAAGATATATGATAAATTAATTTCTTTAAAAAGATGCTACAATGGTTTATTAGGATGATAACGAATACTCCAAATTTAGCATTTAATATTTGTTAAATTTTTAATTAAAATAAAAATTGTATTATATAACTGAAAACATTTTCATAGCAACATCATTTGTGACGTAACCTTCATGCAGGCTACTTTGTGTCAATCAACTAACACTACTATACTTGCATATTACTGCTATTTGTGCTAGATAGAGTTATCACGATTGAAACAGCCGCTCGACATCGGATCATTCAGTACCAAGTGTGTATTGAAAGAGTAAAGAGATGGCTACCGCGCTCGTATCTTTAATTCTCGGAGCAATAATAATTCTTTATCTGTATCTAACGAGAAATTTAAAATATTGGCAAAAACGAGGAGTTCCTTGCGCAAATGGCGCTCTACCGGGAATTGGTCATATGTGGGATTTTGTCTCTATGAAGGAAACCTTCTCCGAATGGTGTCGCAAAATCTATTGTGATAACAAAGGTCACAGTATGGTCGGTTTCTATAATTTCATGAAGCCTACATTGCTGATTCGCGAACCGGAGCTGGTAAAAACAGTGCTACAAACAAACTTCACAAATTTTCACGACAATGGACTCAAAGTCGACCCTGAGTTGGATCCTCTTTTGGCGAACAATCCTTTCTTCGTGTACGGAGATAAGTGGGTGATCGGACGAAAGCGGTTGACCCATGCATTCTCCGGCATGAGACTAAAAATTCTACTTGAGAGCGTTAAGCAAGTATGTGAAGAATTAGAGAATTTTGTGGATAAAAAGCTAAGCAAGGTGGAAAAAGTGGAAATAGAACTGAAGGATCTGTTCGCCAAGTACACCTCGCAGGTGGTAGCGAACGCTGGTTTTGGTGTGAACGGATTATGTTTCGACGATGAGAAACAGAAGGAGTCCTTCTACGCATTAGGCAAATCTTTCCTCGAGCCGTCTTTTATAAACAACCTTATCTTTAACATTGTGTTTCTAATGCCTCGGTTGGCCAATGTTCTAAAGATAAGATTCTTGCCAAAAAATGTCGACCATTTCTTCAGAACATTAGTCAAAGATATCATCGAGCAAAGAAGAACAAGCGAAACGCGGAGAAATGACTTCCTCCAATTGATGGTCGAATTGGAGCGTATGGAAAATGATAAATTCGACGTAGAAGTCCTGGCGTCCCATGCGGTGTCATTCTTCCTCGACGGCTACGAGACTTCCAGCACAACTTTATGTTTCGTTGGATTTCACTTAGCCGCTTACCCAGAAGTGCAGAAGAAATTACGCGAGGAGATAATAACCGTGCTATCCAAACATAATGGCACTCTCACATATGACGCCTTGAAGGAAATGACCTACATGGATCAAGTAATAAGCGAGTCACAGAGAGCCATACCGACATTAGGATTTATGACTAGATTATGCACAGATACGATTGATTTGAAAGGATCCGACGGTTTGGTTTGCTCTGTGGAGCCTGGAACAAATATTGTGATATCCGTCCATGGTCTACAAAAAGATTCTAGTTATTGGGAGAACCCGGACTTGTTTGATCCTGAAAGATTCAGTCCAGACAAGAAACACAACATCGAGAAATTCGCCTTTCTTCCCTTCGGTGAGGGCCCACGAATGTGCGTAGGAATGAGGATGGCTATACTGCAGATGAAGGCATGTCTCGCTATGTTTTTGAAAAAATACAGCTTGGAACTTTCTCCGAAGACGCAGTTGCCCTTGAAGTTGAAAGCAGCAAGTTTCTTAAATGCGGCTGAAGGTGGTGCTTGGGCTTTCATCCGACCGATTTAATTGCACGTATTTTTAATCTCCTGTAATTTGTTGTAGCGACTTTATTCTTTATCATCGAAAATATTTTTTGCCTATAATGAGATCTTTCAATACATATTACATATTATTTACTGTATTAAATTTTTTTTTTCAATATCATCTACTTCTTATACATTTGGTGATAAGCTCTTTAAAATGTTACGATAATCTGTTGTTCGCTGAATTACTTTCATACTTTTTATACTTTTATTCTTTTATATTACAGATTTTATATTTTTTGGATAATTTTCGCTTGTATATAAATACATTCGAAGAAATATGAAGATTATAATATCTTCTTTTAATTGCACAATATTCCATTTTGTGTAGTCAAGCAGCCAATACGCGTACATTGCGTTTTAAATGTGCATTTTAATTATCATTGAAAGCGCGTTGTAAATGTACATTTATGGCGCATATTTAGCCCGCATTAAATTTGCGTTTAATGCACATTATGGCAGCGGATTAAATCTGCATTTAATACACATTATGGTAGCGCATTCAAAAAATTATTTTTCGCGTATCTCGTTTGCTGGTATCTTACGAATTTATGTGTCTACAATGTTTCTGCAATATTGCATTGCTATACACAATATTGAAACGTTGCAATAATGTTGCTACAACCGTCTTTGCTGTATGGGTTTGTCTTCCAACGTTATTTTTTATTAAATCAGTTAAACTAATATTGTTAAATCAACTACAGATATGGCATTCTGCGACATCAACATTTCATTGACGCGAGGAATCTCACTTGAAAAACTCATCTGGGAATCCCACTTAGGAAATCCACTTAGGATATCTAGGCGAAACACCCATTAGAAATTCCAATTGGGTTTTCAACAGGATTTTTCAATAAGGAGCACTTGTTCATATGCTTTAGTGTGCATAAATTTCTTAAACTAGTACGATCACTACACATAAAAAAAAAAAGTTTTGTACCAGTATACATCAGTTTAGACAGTTTTACGAAAAAGAACAGATCTTTTGTAAACAAGCAATAATTTGTGGTTTAACGATGTATCACGTAAAAAATTATTCATTTATTTTATAAAACTTGTTATTACGAAATGCGTAAATATCTCATTAATTTGAATTTATTATAAATACACAATTAATGCAGTTTCGAAGCCAATGCAGTTGAATGCGCATTAAAAGCGCATTATAAACGCATTGGCGCTCTTTGGTTACGCGATAAAAAATATCTTTCAGTTTTATACACGTTTCTTATCATTTGACCAGGTCAAATGTATACCCAGCAAAAAATTACATCGTCAATACCAGTAGAACGGCGTCATTGCTTTTGATAGAATAAGATATAATGTTACTACAAAGAAAATATATGTTTTACATCAAATCGCGCGATGTAAGTTATATCTTACGTAATGCTTTTAATAATATCATAATAACAATATCATTAAACAATTCCATATATAAATAAAAATATACCTTTTCCATTTTCAAACAAATAAGTAAGTTTCATCTTTGTGAAAACTACAAATAATAATCTGAGACTTTTCGTTATCAAAGACATGATTAGAATGATATGTATGTAATTTTGCTTAGACATTTATAAAAATATATAAGATTATGTAGCGCAAAAATTGTAACATTTTCCTATACAATATAATATAAATCAAACGATTTAATTTACAATTAATTATAAACTTATAGCATGAATCACATGATAAGTAATATAAGTTTATACATTTTATTTACAAATATATACGGTAGAAAGAACAAGTATGTAATAATAATATAGACAATCACGTATACATATTTTATATATTATAGAGAGTTTATTCATTAAAAATTCTTATACATATTTCCATGTGCTCTTTTACACATTTTTATGATAGCATACATTTTTATGAACACACTTGTTAGTATACTTTCCACATACGAAAAAATACATATTTTTAACTGCTAAATTATTCTTGACATATTCCTTTATAGCAGTAGCAATATTCTAAAGTATAATAACGTACATGTATGTTAAATTCTAGCAGAATGCGGTGAAATTAAAATGTGATAAATTTTGCGAATTAACTAATAATACTTAAGCGTTTGTTAATTAAAATGGAATAATTATTCTGTATAAAATAATCTGCCGAAATAAAAACAAAGTTTTAATAAATGCATTATATATTTGTCTAGCGTAAATCATGTTAGGTCTTTACCGTTTTCAACAGACTATCCATCGATTTGTATTTCGTCAGTCAAATCTTTAATTCTGTGACAAAGTGCGAATGTATATGCTCGCTTTTGGTACTAATTAAATAATAACAAAAAACAATTTCGACAAAGTTTCTTGAAAAACCAAAAACACGAACATTAGTAACATGCAACTTTTCCATACGGACTTTCAGAATGTTTGACATTACGTAACAGATTCAAACAGGTGCTAAAGAAAACGAAATGTAACAATCACCTCTACGTAATGTTCTATAACGTAACAGAAATCCAAATCAGTAATAAGCCAAACAGAAATTTAACGGAATAACTGAATAATCTAACGACGTATTCATCCAAGTAAATCATTAGAGGCTTAAAATTCGGCACAAACATCAATAATAGAAACAAAAACATTTCGAGCAGGTAAGCATCATTTACAATTGATAAAATCGCAGAGTACGCGCATAATAACATCGAGTAGGAAATAAACGTATGAATTATGTGATAAAAAGAAAGATAGAGAGAAAAAATGTAGATATTAATCATTTTTATATACAAATATCAAATACATATATTACTGATACATAACATAGGTATTTTAATTTATTAAAAAAAAAGTTGACAATAAATAAAATTGTAAAATACAATTTGCATTACGTTATGTAAATTTGAATATTCAATATAAACAGACGTATACAATTTAGTATAATACGACACATGTCGTAATACGATATAGGACACATGGCTCGTTGAATAATAATCAGTGGAACTATTATGCGATTACATAATCTGGCTCTATGTGGTGAGATGACGCATATCAGCAGTCTCCTCTCAATGTCAATATCACTAAGAGCTGTTAATAGAAAAAGTGTCAAAAAATACCATTTATTAATTTATGAAAAAAGATATATGATAAATTAATTTCTTTAAAAAGATGCTACAATGGTTTATTAGAATAATAACGAATACTCCAAATTTAGTATTTAATATTTATTAGATTTCTAATTAAAATAAAAATTGTATTATATAACTGAAAAAAGTTCCATAGCAACATCATTTGTGATGTAACCTTCTGCAAGCTATTTTGTGGCAATCAACTAACACTACTATACTTGCATATTGCTGCTATTTGTGCTAGATAGAGTTATCACGATTGAAACTGCTCGACACCGGATCATTCAGTACCAAGTGACTATTACAAGAAAAAAGAGATGGCTACTGCGCTCGTATCTTTAATTCTTGGAGCAATAATAATTCTCTACCTGTACCTAACGAGAAACTTAAAATACTGGCAAAAACGAGGAGTTCCTTGCGCGAATGGCGCTCTACCGGGAATTGGCCACATGTGGCATTTTATCTCCATGCGGGAAACCTTCGCCGAATGGTGTCATAAAACTTACGATAATAACAAGGATTACAGTATGGTCGGTTTCTATAATTTCATGAAGCCGACATTGCTGATTCGCGAACCGGAGCTGATAAAAACAGTGCTACAAACAAACTTCACAAATTTTCACGACACTGGACTCAAAGTCGACCCTGAGTTGGATCCTCTTTTGGCGAACAATCCTTTCTTCGTGTACGGAGATAAGTGGGTGACAGGACGAAAGCGACTGACATACGCATTCTCCAGCATGCGACTAAAAATTCTACTCGAGAGCGTTAAGCAAGTATGTGAAGAATTAGAGAATTTCGTGGATAAAAAGCTAAGCAAGGTGGAAAAGGTGGAAATAGAACTGAAGGATCTGTTCGCCAAGTACACCGCGCAGGTGGTAGCGAACGCTGGTTTTGGAGTGAACGGACTATGTTTTGACGATGAGAAACAGAAGGAGTCCTTCTACGCATTAGGCAAATCTTTCCGCGAGCCGTCTTTTATGAAAAACGTTATCTTTATCATTGTGTTTCTAATACCTTGGTTGGGCAAAGTTCTCAAGCTCAGATTCTTGCCAAAAAAAGTCGACCATTTCTTCAGAACATTGGTCAAGGATATCATCGAGCAGAGAAGAACGAGCGAAACGCGGAGAAACGACTTCCTCCAATTGATGGTCGAATTGGAGCATATGGAAAATGATAAATTCGACGTAGAGGTCGTGACGTCCCATGCGGTGTCATTCTTCCTCGACGGCTACGAGACTTCCAGCACAACTTTATGTTTCGTTGGATTTCACTTAGCTGCTTACCCAGAAGTGCAGAAGAAATTACGCGAGGAGATAATAACCGTACTATCCAAACATAATGGCACTCTCACATATGACGCCTTGAAGGAAATGACCTACATGGATCAAGTAATAAGCGAGTCACAGAGAGCCATACCGACATTAGGATTTATGAATAGATCGTGCACAGACGCGATTGATTTGAAAGGATCCGACGGTTTGGTTTGCTCTGTGGAGCCTGGAACAAACATTGTGATACCCCTCCATGGTCTACAAAAAGATTCTAGTTATTGGGAGAACCCGGATTTGTTTGATCCTGAAAGATTCAGTCCGGACAAGAAACACAACATCGAGAAATTCACCTTTCTTCCCTTCGGTGAGGGCCCACGAATGTGCGTGGAAATGAGGATGGCTATACTGCAGATGAAGGCATGTCTCGCTATGTTCTTGAAAAAGTACAGCTTGGAACTTTCTCCGAAAACGCAGTTGCCCTTGAAGTTGGAAGCAATAAGTTTCATGAACTCGGCAAAAGGTGGTGCTTGGGCTTTCATCCGACCGATTTAATTGCACGTATTTTTAATCTCCTGTAGTTTTGAAGCAACCTTATTTTTTACCATCGAAAATATTTCTTGCCTATAATGAGATCTTTCAATACATCTTACATATTATTTACTGTATTACATTTTTTTTCAATATCATCTACTTCTTTTAACTTTGATAAGCTCTTTAAAATGTTACGATAATCTGTGGTTCGCTGAATTACTTTTATACTTTTTTATACTTTTATTCTTTTACATTACAGATTTTATATTTTTCCAATAATTTTCGCTTGTATATAAATATATTCGAAAAAATATGAAGGTTATAATATCTTTTTTTAATTGCACAATATTCCATTTTGTGTACTCAAGCAGCGCCTACAATGCGCGTACAATGCGTTTTAAATGTGCATTTTAATTAACATTAAAAGCACGTTGTAAATGCACATTTACAGCGCATATTTAGCCCGCATTAAATTTGCGTTTAATGCATTATGGCAGGGTATTAAATTCGCATTTAATGCACATTATGGTAGCGCATTCAAAAAATTATTTTTCGCGTATCTCGTTTGCTGATATCTTACGAATTCATGTGTCTACAATGTTTCTGTAATATTGCATTGCAATACACAATATTGAAATGTCGCAGTTGCAGTGTTGCTACAAGCGTCTATGCTGTATGGGTTTGTCTTCCAACGTTATTTTTTATTAAATCAATGACAAGTATTGTTAAATCAACTACAGATATGGCATTCTGTGACATCGACATTTCATTGACTCGAGAAATCTCATTTAGAAAACTCATCTGGGAATCCCACTTAGAAAATCCACTTAGAATATCTAGGCGAAACACCCAGTAGGAATTCCAATTGGGTTTTCAACTAGGATTTTTTTATAAGGAGCACCTGTTCTTAAGTGCTGTTGCTTTAGTGTGCATAAATTTTTTAAACTAGTACGATCACTTCACTAAAAAGAAAAAAAATTTTAACTTTTTGTACCAGTATACATCAGTTTAAGTAGTTTTACGAAAAAGGACAGATCTTTTGTAAGCAAGCAATAATTTGTGGTTTGACGATGTATCACGTAAAAAATTATTCATTCATTTTATGAAACTTATTATTACGAAATGCGTAAATATCTCTTTAATTTGAATGCATTATAAATACACAATTAATGCAGTTTTATGCGCATTAAAAGCGCGTTATAAGCGCATTGGCGCTTTTTAAGTAGTTACGCGATAAAAAATATCTTTCAGTTTTATACACGTTTCTTATCATTTGACCAGATCAAATGTATACGCAACAAAGAATTGCATCATCAGTGCGCCAATAAAACGGTGTCATTGCTTTTGATACAATAAGATATAATGTTATTACAAAGAAAATATATGTTTTACATCAAATCGCGCGATGTAAGTTATATCTTACGTAATGCTTTTAATAATATCATAATAACAATATCATTAAATAATGCCATATATAAATGAAAATATACCTTTTTTATTTTCAAACATATAAGTAAGTTTCATCTTTGTGAAAACTACTAATAATAATCTAAGACTTTGTTATCAAACTCATAGACATGATTAGAATGATATATATGTAATTTTGTTTAGACATTTATAAAAATATATATGATTATATAGCGGAAAAATTGTAACTTTTCCTATACAATATAATATAAATCAAACGATTTGATTTACAATTAATTATAAACTTATAGCATGAATCACATAATAAGTAATACTACAAGTTTTATTTGCAAATATATACGGTAGAAGGAAAAGGTATATAATAATAATATAGATAATCACTTACACATTTTGTATATTATAAACAGAATTTATTCATTAAAAATGCTTATACATATTCCCTGTCTGTTCTTTTACACATATGTTATGATAGCACAACACACGTTAGTGTACTCCTCACATGCGAAAAAATACATATTCTTAACTGTTAGATTATTTTTAACATATTATTTTATGGCAGTAGTAATAATATTCTAATGTATATTAACATATACGTACATTAAGATCTATCAGGTAAGGCACTGCGGTGAAACCAAAATGCGATAAATTTCGCAAATTAACTAATAATAATTACATAGCTTTAATTACGTTGTAATTGTAATTAATTGTAATTTTAACGCTATTAATTAAAATGAAATAAATAATCTATATTAAATAATCTGCCGGAATGAAAACAAAGTTCAATAAATGCATTATATATTTGTCTAGCGTAAATCATGTTAAGTCTTTACCGTCCTCTATAGACTATCGATCGATTTGTATTTCGCCAGTAAAAATCTTTAACTCGGTGATAAAGGGCGAATGTATATATGCTTGCTTTTGGTGCCAATTAAACAATAACAAAAAAACAGTTCCGACAAAGTTTCTTGAAGAACAAGAACCAGAAACACGGGCATTGGTAACAGGCAACTCTTCCATACGGATTTTCAGGAGGTATGTAACAACGGTAACATAACAATAACATAATTTTGCATAACAGCAACCAAGGATGTAACAAAATCAAATAACAATAACAATTATACAAGCATCGTAGTAATTTGGCTGGCCAAGTATTTCTGACAATAAAATGTATGTTATAAACTTTTATGCAAAAAGAATAATTTATTTTAAGTGATATACTTGAATTTTCTCTGGAACTAATTTTTTTTTTGAAAAATATTGCAAACAGATAATAACAAACTATTACTAGTAATATGTTTTTGCGTTTAATTAATTTAATAATTTTATTATTTAATTTACAATAAGAAGACTTGTTAACCATCCAAATATAGAATTCTTGAATGTGATTTAAATATCTAAGCTTTTAGCTCCTTTAATATCTCTGTGTGTTCAGATATATAATCATTAATTTTATTTTCTGTCACAAGTTACGCGCGCACACACGTACACACATGCACACATATCTCATTCGCAGAGAGATAAGTTTGATATTTTTACAAGACACTTTCACTCGGAATTCAAGCATACAGCTATTTTTGGAACGTATTTTCTACCGTGCCTAAAGGAACTGTATTTACAATATATATCAAATATATAAGTCACACAAATAAATTTCATCTGCCAGAAATGAAATAAGCGTAAACATTATTAATTGCCCAATTGGAATTGATTTGATTAACCGCTCTGCCGTCACATTGTCAACAATGATAAAACAATCTGAAAATGCAATACGTAGTAATAAAATATAATAGTAAATAGCAATAGAGGAAATAATAATAGCAATAATAATAAGGAGCGAACAAATAAGGTTGGGGGTAAACAAAAGTGATATTAATAACGTGTAAGTAACGATTATAATATGTCTAAGGCAGACAAACTAGTAACTTCAACTGCCGAAAGAATTTAACGTAAAATACAGGACACATTTCAACTTCATGATTTTTTTAAAACAATAACTATAGCTGTAAGATATATAGAGATGGACCATTTCAATGTATTACCTCAACTATTTCAGTCACTTTCTCATTTTAGAAAAAAAGTTTCAGATAAGTTATTTAGTTTCAAGAGGGTATGGAATTATGACCTTGTTCTGACATTAAATCTTGAACGACTCCAGATTAGAAGTTCATTGGAACTAAATAACTTTTATTTAAAGCTCTTTTTCTCAAATGAGAAATTTATACATTAAAATCGCACACATATTTTATAATCAGAATATGTGCAAAGTACATAAATTAAAAAAATAATGTGCAAATTTTAATTCACATTTAGATAATATTTACGCTTTTCAGAGAGAAGCTCAAAATTTAAATAACGTACATGATACAACACAAGAGGTAATTTTCTGTTGAAATATTACATTCATATAATATATGGAAATAAATCAATTTTCTTACTATTTTCTCTGATAAGAATCTTGAATTTCCTCAATAACTTCCAACATGAGATATTTTCGTGCAGTGAGTTTAAGAAATTAAAGGTGCTTAAATTCAACGAATGTAACGTAGAGTAAGTCATAATAGAATTTACATACAAGATCAAAGAAAGATAGTGTGAAAGATAGAATGAGTGAGAGAGAGAGGAGCAATTGTTTAAAATTCATTATAGCAAATGGAATAAACATTGGATGCTTTTGTGGATTCGAGTGGGATGGACTGTCGAATACAGGATGTTTGACAACAGTTTTGTAGGTGATTGATGATGATCTATAACATAAACAAAGTATTAACAGTACAATCAACAAGGATTTAACAGCTTTAAACATAACTTTCAGTCCAACTGGAACATCCAAAGTTTCGGCAACAGGGAACATGCGATAAGATAACGTAACAGGTTCAAACAGGTTCAAACAGGTGTTAAAGGAAACGAAATGTAACAATCACTTCTACATAACGTTCGATAGCGTAACAGCAACGGAAATCCAGATCGATAACATGCCAAACAGAAATTTAACGTGAATAACGGAATAATCTAGCGACGCGTCCATCCAAGTGAATGATCAGGAGCTTAAAATTCGACACAAACATGAACAACAAAAACAGTAACATTCCGAGCAGATAAGCAACATTTGAGAAGCATTCAAAAGCAGCATAATACGTTTATATTATTTCTGAATTAAAGTATTTGCGGGATACTTTACGCGTAAGGTGCCTCTTTTTTCGAGATGTATCTAAAACACTTCCGTTCGAATTGTATTGTATTTTAGACAGCTTAATATTATCGTTATAACGGGCAAAGTACAAATCATCTATATTACGTGGTACCGAAGAGAAATATCGATATCGAATTCTCACACAATTGAATAATAAAAGTTAGACATTTAGATAATTAATATATAAATGATTTTCTTACTACGAAGTTATATATTTGTCTACCCTAGATATTTTTAATCATGATACTTAAAAGTGGATAATTTTGCGAAATAAATAATTCATGTTGCTTATGTCGTACGTCGTATACATTGTTTCGCTTACTATGCTTGAGGATAAAAGTAAGTGCTTACGAATCAGTATATATATATATATATATATATATATATATATATATATATATAATTTTACTTATACTAATTAATTATTTCCTGCATATTATTACCTGTTCCTCTAATGTTTCCATAATATATGTTCTCTCTTATAGAATAAAGATATAAGCTATAAATTAATAATAATCGGTTAACTTGATAAATTTTATACAGCAATGTAAAGTTTGACAATGGATATATTAACAGATAATCTGCCATGTACGAAAAAAACAAAGAGCACGTACGAATAATAATTGTAACATTTTATGTAAAAAATAAAAACAGCACAATCTCTCTATAAATTGGGAAAGCCAAAATTTACAATTGATATCAATTTCGTGATAAATCTTATAAAGTTCGTCACTCATTCTTATTAGTTGTACGTATTCATTCACTGAAATATTCTCTTCTTTGCCAAATGTATCTTGTCGAATATATCAACATAAAAATTTTTAAAATACTAAGTGCAAAATGTCTATAATATAGTTGTAACATTAACTGCTACTCACATACGACATCATAAACGCCAGCACAAGTTCGTTTATTTGACACAAGTATGACATATAGTCATGAATAGTTAAAGATAATCCACTGCTTACTCTTAAGATTATCGTAATAGATCTATTTCTCATAATTTCTTAGGATTTTCCAGAAAATGGCTTCTTTTATCCTTGTTGTCGTCTCGTGCAATCGCTTGGAGACGATTTACTGCAAATTCTGAATTGTGCTACTTGTTTTTGTATTTGCGTTTGATTATCGTCGAGTGACTTTACAAATTCATCAGTTTCACACTTGTAAGAGATACTGGAGTATTGTTCAAGTCGAAATGTCCTTCTTTAAACTATTTAAACTGTATCACACGGTATTGTCATCAAAAAAAGAATCGATTTGCACTAAAGTCTATAAATTGAGAGTCTTCTTTTCTTGTTGGAAATAAGAAAACAAAGTAAACAAAGTAATAACAGGAAGATTACATATTGTTGCAATTTTTGATATACTGTTGTGTATTTTTTAAAAATATGTTTCATATCTCTCTTAATATATTAAAATATTAATAAATATCTTATCAAGCCAAGTATCGTTTTTATGGTTTCGTATAAATATTACTTACTAACAAGCAGAACAATTTCTCAGCTAAGTGGATTATCTTCAATATTTCTAACAAATATGTTACTTAAGTCTCACAGTGAAGGCATTTATGATGTCACGTATACACATCATACAATCCACGTTCTACGATAGACATCTATAATGCAGTAAAAACTCAATTAGCAAATAAACAAATTTCTCAGACGAGTTTGTGTTCAATTCATACACAGAATATATTTCTATGTAATTATATTAATGCTATGTAACCAAAAACGAGATAATTTTAGTGATAATTCGATAAAATGAAATACGCAGATCCCGAGAGGAATGGTTGGTCTCGCAAAAATGATGTGATTATATTTTTCAATATATATATTAATTTTTAATCAAACACAATTTTGTGAGACAAACTCCTTGTAATCCTCCCAGCATCTCCGCACAGTTGGGAACAATCGAACAGAAAGTTGCATCGTATCACTGATATGTCTCAAATATTACGTTATCAGTTTGACAGATTATATGGGATTATTTTAGATGCATATTACTTGTTTTGTAGAACGTATCATACTTTATATCAACATGTTTTCTTTTTTCTTTTTTTTTTTATTTTCACATTCTATTCTTTTTATTTGGTAAAAAAGGAACTAAAAAGTTTAAACAAATATAAAAAAATAAAAAACAAAATTAAAATCAAAATTAATACTTGGTCGGTCATGAAATTATTGATATGCAAATGATAATCCTTTAACAAAATATAGTATTTGAATAAAATATAGTATACATATAGTGACGTAATGTAAGTGACGTAATAATAATTATAAAGCGCAGACGAACAAAAATCTACACTTAAAAACATTCCAGAATTTTATAATTACTGAACATAAAATTGAGAAGATTCTCTCTATAATATAAAATCACATGATTAATAGTCAATAATCTGTAAACAAATATTGATAACTGTCAAACAGATATTGATAACTACTAATACTATATTATGTGTTTTATAAAGTACGATGTTTTCTGCCGGAAATATTTTCTAATTATAAAAATGACAGAATTTCAAGATGTTTAAACATTGTAGTCATAATAATAATGCGATAAAAATATAAATGCGGATATGATTCACATGTATATGGTTTAGAGCGTATACGCAAACAAACCACTTCACATCTTAATATTGACGATAATCTCACGCAGACCAATAAAATAAAACCGAAAAGAAATAAAACTAACGAAAAAAGAAAATGAGTAAAATAAATAATAAGAAAATTAAATCTACAATACAATATAAGATTCGTATCAAATATCTTGACTACGTTTAGTTTAATAACGGTCGTATGTTAAGTGCCAAAAATGAGATAATCGCAATAATCAACTTTATCTCCTCAATAATGTTATAAATCACTCACGTCTTTTTTTATTTTTTTTCTTTTTTAGTTAATACTATCGATAAAGTCGATCGATTTTTCTAAAAACTTAAAAATCTAGAAAAATAATTAGAAGAAAATATATTACTTTTTGATAATAGTCCCACGACGTCCGTTGTCCGTGATTCGGCGACTCAGCTAAGCGTTGTTTCGCGATGATTTGGTGCTTTATCTCCACGTGTCTGGTCCGTGATATCTTCGGAAGATAATGTGTTTTCGACAGATTTGAGGGAAAAGACCTGTCACTCGCCGTTCTTAATTCTTCATTTCGTCGTAGAGTTCTTCTTTTGCTAAATAAGGAAAAAATCAATAATAACAATTACATTGTTTACTGTCGGTTAGATGAAGCTTTTCTGTTTCAGCTCGTTGAGGATTCTTGCACAGTCGGATAAATCCGCAATAGTGATTTTTGTCCTGAGATTCATAATCCGAGTCATCCAGCATGATACTTTTGATAATTTCTGTTCTTCGTATGGATTTAGAATCTTCGTACGATTGACGTCTAATTTGTAGCCTTGAACAGTTTAGCATAAAATCGTATTCGAGAAAGTTTGTCTCGAGTAAGTAAGTAATAAGAGATTTTCGTTTCACTTGAGTTATTTTTGCCTCCCGGCGTTTTGTCTCTAATGTCTTTTTGTGTTCATGCAGCGGTGTTTTGCTCGTGGATCGTGATTTCGTATCGAGAAGCTTGTTTATGCCGCTGCAGAGCCGCATGTGCTTGAAGAGAATTATCGTTATGTGCTTTCGATCTGGCGAAAGTTTATTTCTTAAATTTGATGTTCAGTCGTTAATTTCGAACTTGCATTGGACCAAAAAGGACTCCGCGTGTACTGTTTTGCTCAATGTAAAGTGTAATAACGAGCATCACGAATTAGAATCGAGCATAATGATGTCGGCACGACGTCCGTTTTGAGTATCGATCTTTGTGTGTGTTTAAATTTCTGTCGATTCGTGAATTCGTATGAATTACTTCTGCGGTGCGTTCAAACGTTTCTACTGCTCTCTTTTAATCATCTAATAATCAACGCGAAATTATTATTTGTTTATAATTATTACCACAAGAGTTGACGGTGTGCTAACTCGTCGATCCGAAGTATAACTAACAAATTCCGATCGAGAGCCTTCAATTGTGTCTCGCCAGGTTGAATTTCCAGTCAAATTAGATCCGTTCTTTTTTTTTCTTGCTTTTGCTGCAGTTCAAGTTCGTGCGGAACTGTTTTGCCTGCATAATACTGTTTGTGCTTTTCGTCTTTGCGTTTTTAATAGCTCTGATGCCATAATTGTATGCCTTACTTGATGCCGTTGACGAGCGTGTCGAACAATCGTCGTGTTTGGATCGCAAAATAATCAGGATGCTCCAGAGGAAATGCTGTTTCAACGTGAAATTACCGTGCTTTCGTCAAGTCATTACGAGGGAGTCCTCGTAAACAGATTTGGAGCCGTGTATGCTTCTTTGGTCGTTGTGACATCGCAGCGCATCAAATGTGACCGGGAAGTATAACGAAAGATGATTCCTCTCGGGAAACGATGATAGAGCTTTCTGTAAATCAGTAATAAAGTGCTGAAAACCGCGTGCTTTCGCGGTCGTTCGAGAGTATCTTGCAAAATTATTCCATCTGCGAAGGCAGTTGCATTTGTGACGGTACAGACTCAAAAGGAGAGGGAGGAGAGGGAGTGATCGAGCTCAAGAGATCAGAGGACCCGTTTCAATCCCTTGCCGTGATCTTTCCGAGGGGAGACGTTTCGTCCTTTTCGATCCAATTTCGAGCGAGGTAGGATTCAGACTCTAATTGTTCGCACTGCGGAACGTGTACGAAATATGTGCCAATGCTATAATTCACGTGCTAATGATTTTCTCTCTCTCTTTCTTTCTCTCTGCGAAATGACTGCGTAATCTTGAGGGAGGTCGCGTCATACACGCGTTACGTGGTATTACGATGATGATTTCGTGGTATTCCGATGATCTTCTTCAACAAACTCGAGAAATTCCTGTTTTCCTATAGCGTTATTGTATAGAAGTCTTTGGTCAATTATTAGAGTAACGTGGTAAAGAAGTAGCGTTTCCAGAGTTATTTCAGGAGTGTGTTCCAGGAGTTACCGCTCTTGACGATTTCGACGTTGCGTTGAGAATGTTCGGTTTCGATGCTGCGAAATCTCGTTTGTTTCGGTCTGGTAAGTATAACGGATGCAGCTCTCACCCGCCATGAAATTTCTTGTTTTTTTTTCAAATGCTGTGAATATCACGTTACAGAAAATCCAGCGATCGATAATTGATATTCGACGTCTGTCCGTGAAGCGTCGAATGAATTCTCAGAAGACAGGAAATAATTCGTTCCGTCAGAATGGTACTGCTTCGATCTTGAAGTCGAGGTCAGAAAGATTCTCAAAAAGTAGTTGAAGCTCGCAGCCTTATATGCTCCAGAAGTGCCTCGATAATGCCTCGAAAATGCTCTCGCCAATGTACAGAATAAAAATCATCGCTACGATCTCAGTTTGTCTGGTAAACATTTAAAAGCCTGTTTTCTCTTCTTGTGTAAAACACGAACGCGATAACTTTGATAAATCCAACAAATGTCGCAATGATAATTGCCATAAATTCAACGAATCTCATAAGTGCGATAAAACATGACAGATGCGAAATTCTACAAGTAACTCGATAAATTGAGTGTAGAATGAAGTAGAAGGGTCGTGCGATCATCGCTCCTGGTCGCCGATGATCCATCACGATCATCCAGGAACGAGATCGCCGTGAAGATACTTCTTTTGTCGTTCTTCGATCCGTTTCTCAGTCCTTGTTTCGATTCCTCAGGTAGGATAGTTTGGCTTCCGCTTGACGGTGGACTCCGGCTGCACCCGTTGATTTTCAACCTCCTGTGCCATCCCATCGACTGATTGATGCCTCCATTGTTCTTGGATTGCTGCTGCCTCGTTGCCCTGGGTCGTCCAAGTAGTGAGACCTGGAAGGGTGTGAGCGTTAGCTACGAAAAGACACACTAAGGGCCGGTTGTTCGTGTTTCCAACGATGAAACTAATCTAATCTACGAATCTACCAGGTGCTCTTTTTTAACACAACTCCGTTAAATAATCTCTTCTAATCTTTGGAGGTAGCACGAGTCATTCGAAGTACGCACACATGATATACAAATGTTGGTTTTCGGATTTCCGTGCGTTTACACAAAAATGCATAATTTTTCTTGCGGATAAACGTAGAATACTTTTTGTTTCTCACCATATAACGGAATTGGTTTACCATTTCGTATATGCGTATATTTGTTTCCCGACGATTTCTTCTTAAGCTAAAATTTCAGTCATTTATAATTGGCATGAACGTATGGGATTGCAATAATGTTACAACGATAACTATCTTCAATTCAACGCCTATATTGGACAAAGAGTATTTTTGTACGGCAAACGTGTTTTATGTTTAAATCAGGATAATTCACAATGTCTCACTGTAAGTTTTTACCGTTTATCGTGACACTGAAGAGAGTTCGGATGAAATGTTAAATTTATTCAATTTTGCGGCGTTTTAAATCCCTTTGGCTATATGTACGTATAATATTCTTGATTATATATATAAATACACATTTTCTATTCTGTACAGGATATATAAAAAAAGTTGAGGCCCCAGAATATCTCAAAAAATACAAGTTTAAAAAAAATGTTTCAAATAAAAGAGAGTTATAAAATTTAAAAATATCTATTTACTGATTGTATTATTTTGATCTTGGGTGGCGTCGTCAAAGTTAGCGCAAGGTCATCTAAATTTGTTTTAATGGAACTCCCTATTTTTTATTAGATATTTTTATAGTCCTTCGTAAAATCTTTTCAAAATACTTTTAACCGTTTTGAGTCAGCTGTTTTGAAGTTATCGACATTTTTATATTATATTATTATGATGTTGATGACTGCAACTTTACTCAAGATGAAACAAGTGGAGATATCACTCACGTCACGTCGTTTTTAGATTACTTTGACCAACATCACGTTAACAAATACTATAGACGTTTACAAATACTTATAGATTCTAGTTTGATATTAATTCTCATCGGATATTAGAGGCACACACACAATATCCAAAAGAATTGAATGTTTGAGCAGGTGTTTTAAATAATGTTTTAAATGGTCCATTTTTCACTGATGACAATTTGACAGCAACAAAGTATAAAGATATGCTGAGAAATCAAATACTTCCGGCAATAATTGCGATTGTAGGTGAGAACTTTGAGTGGACATTATTCCAGTAGAATGGAAGACCGTATTTTAGTAGAAACACTCGTAATTATTTGAACATAGTTCTTTCTAATCAATAGATAGACAGAAGAAAAAGAATCGAATAGCCATCTCGATCGTCTGATTTATTGCCGTTTGATTACTTTCTATATAGTTATCTATAAAGTAGAGTCTATAAAACGATACGAAATCTGGATGATCTTCGCTGTTGAGTCCTTGAAGAAACTACGTATTTATTCCAAATGATTACTTCAGAAATATCATGTCTTTGTAAGCAATTTGAATAATTACTATGATACTTCAACATCAGGAAAATATGTTTATTAGGCTAATTATCACATCCTGATCAAGAATTAATTTTTATTCTGTTATCCTCATAATTACTACGATCTTGTTTTCATTGTCTGGATTATCTTCCAATTTTAACTTTTTGGCCAGATGAATCAACCACTAATCTTGGCTTCATTGTTTAGATCAACTATTCTTATTTAGATCAACCGACCTTGCTTTTGTTGGCTGGACATTTTATCATAAAATGGTAAGATAACTTCAAAACGACTCGATAACTTTGAAACAACCCAAAAAAATAATTTTGAAAAGATCTCAAGAAGAGTTGTAAGAATATATAATAAAAAATAAGGGATTTTATTATAAAAAAATTCACCATTCACGATCAAACTAATAAAATCAGTAAGTAGAACTTTTTAAATTCTACAACTTTTATCTGAAACATTTTTTTATAGAACTTACTCAATTTTAGTATTGTAATACAATATTCCAATTTATTTTTATGTTTTTATATGTAATTATTAAAAAAATATACTTTAATGTTTAGCTTCCTGATTTCTGATTTTTTTTCTCTTCTAAGTTTTACTGCAACAGAAGTAATATTAATAAAATTACTCAGATTTTACAAGAAATAGCCTTTCATCTTGAAGAACTACTTGCGTTTAAAGCTTCTTACTATTTTTCTATCGTTATGTTTTATGTTCAAGACACTTCATAAATATTATGTATATCATATATCATATAGTTTTTTAATTAAATATAGTATCTTAAATTTTCGAGATATTACGAACAACTTTTGAATTTCATATATTTCTTCGCTTGAATATTTGTTTGTTGTTATTTTTAATTACCATTATTTTTTAATACAATTATTATTACTATATATTTCTGTATGAATTGAATGAGGGAAATTCTTTTAGTTCTAGGAAAATTGATTTCAACTAGAAATCTCACTATGTCTCACTATTTCTCACTATATTTTTTATTACGGCTTTTCATCAGTCAGTCTAAACTGTACTTTGTTATTGTGCAGAAATGCATATTAACAATTAGATCCTTAAAAATATTTTATACAATACGTATTTTCTCATGTTATATTTTTTCGACAATGTACAATTATTCAGTAGATTTTTCAAAGTATTGTATGTTTCCACAAAAAGAACTTAGATGTTCTGGTTAGTTTTGAGAAATGTTTTCGCAAAAAAGCACGTTTATTTGAGAAAGACGTTAAATTATATTTTATTCAAGATATTTTTCATCGCTAGCTAAAACTTTTTCCCGCTTTTCTGGCGATAAGTGAATTTCGCAATAAAAAAATATTTATCCTTCAAAACAATCTATCTATCGAGCCATTTGTTTATTTCTTCATATATTTTGAAGTACTGGTTAGCAAGGCCGTACTGCTTCAATCGAAAGAAATGCTAATCTGAAGAAGCATAGTTTGATAAATACGCGACGTATGGTAAGACTTCCAATTGAAGTGCCGATAACGTATCTTTAATCAATACTTTTGCAATGTGTAGTCGAGCATCGTCGTGCAACAAAATCACTTTATGTTTTCTTGAGCTATTACTGAACGTTTCTGGTTCAAGGCACGATTTATATTGACTTTTAATTGTTGTTGATAACGCTCAGCAGTGACTATTTGATTCGGTTTCAACAACTCATAATACATGACTTTTGTATCGGCTTTCATATCCCACAAATACACAACAAAACATTATTTCCTTAATGGATATTCAAACTTTTTAGTTGACCTGAATGTTCTTTGTCTTTCAAATCAAAATCACCACTTTTGAATCGTCGAAAATAGAGTACTCATGTTACACTATGTTTTAACTGATGGAGCAGACTTAGAATAAATTTCTGAGGTGAACTACGGCAGCCATTTTCTTCGAATCAAAGCAATAAAGTAATAAATGACGAAAATGCGTTTTATCACGTTCTATTTTCAATCGCATTAAAAAATGTGGTTATGTTTACGACATCTGCACACGACATCTGTCAAATTATTTGTAGAAATGTCCAAGCTTTGAAATAACATACCAACTTTAAAAATATTTCTAATAAATTTGTAGATACAGTCATCTATAATGAACTCTACAAAACTAACCGGAACACTTAATATTTTCATGAAAATGGGCAATTATGATTATTGTTATGCTGTCCGTGATGTTACATTTATGACATCAATTTTGCAGCTTGTCGTTAAAAGTTATGAACACACATTTCAATCACTCTGAAAAAATGGTATTTTATAAGCACTTTCGCAATTGCAAAAACGCATAACTCAGCATTTGTTCTTCATCTCTGTATTCTCGTAAACAGAATTATATTCTTCAGTACTTTTAAATGTTTATATTTCAGCTAGTAAGATATCACTATATGTGTGTGTGCCTCCAGCATCCAATAAGAATTAATCATTTTTAGTTATTTCACTTGTTTTTTCATCAATCAATATACGATAAAATTTGTTCTTATTTCCAGATAGATGCATAAATGTAAAAAACTAATACATGACACATGGCTTATTCAACTTCATTATCGGTTCATCTGAAGGTTTGACAACATTGCCGTCATAGTCACGAAGATCTTCCGCGTTCTTAAATATCGCTGAAAAGTTATATCTTTTTGCACTTACTATATTATCAGTTTTAATTATCATGGAATTTTGACCCATTTAATATGCACGTGGAGAATATTTTTCAGTGAGGTTATATACGTATTCACGAGCAATTAATTGGTAAGTAAACAAAACTGAAACAATTAAATAGTCAGCAATTAGATTCTTATTACGTAAATACGTAGATAATAACTTGAAAAAAGTACTGTATATCTATGTCGGATCCAAAATTTTTACGGAAACAGTGAGAAACATCGTAATGCACGCGAACTCTACCTATTTCTTATAACCTATTTCTTATGACGTGCTGTTTTTTCTGATGAAAAGTTATACTACAAATCGCGCGTACCATTCGTATACCAATTTTGCACGGAGAAATTCTTAACTTCATTAGCGATACTTTTTTTATATCGCGTACCAGGATCATTCCACGATAATACGTTGCAATAATATGGAGCAGCTGGTAGCCTGCGATCTGAGTGAAAACGCATAGTTCCACGTGACTCGTCGACAATACATCAAAATGGGTCAATTATGCTCGCGCTTTGAAAAGAAAGAAAAAGAAGAACGCGAAAATGCAGAAAGTGCGGCTGGGAGGTACAGAGGCCAGAATGAAAGCTTCGGTTCTCTATGTATATGCAGCAGAACAACCGACCCCGGAAAGACCGGAGAGCAAAGAGGGCAAAGCGTGAATCGTAAAGGAGAAGCGTGGCCACAAGAGAAGACAAAAAAGTCGTGCTATTGAGCCGCTAGTGCAAAAATGCTGAACCATGGGACTTGAGTCTGAATGGCCAATAGGTTGGTTGGTTGGTT